CGCCCCCGCCACCCACCTCGCAGCAGCAGCAGCAGCCGCCCCCGTCCCCAGGGGGCCCCCTGATGCCCAGCACCAGCCTGCCACGCGGCCCACAGCTGCCCCCACTGCCAGTCACCCTGCCGTCTTCACTGCCCCCGTCCCCCGCCGAGAGCCCCGGCCAGCCGCCCCTGGGGATCGATGTTGCATCCGTGAGCTGGGCTGGGAGCTAGGCCAAGGCCTTGGGGAGGGGGACTGCCAGAGGAGGGGGGTGGGACAAGGGTTCAGGTGGGGGACTCAGTGAGGAGGGGTCAGGCTGTAGGGGGGCTCAGAGGGAGTGATGGCTGAGGCAGTGGCCCCAGTGGGTAGATGGAGAAACTGAAGCACGAGTAGGCGCTGCTGGGTCAGACTCCGTACCAGATGGGCTGCCCAGCCCACCCTCAGAGAAGGGGTGTCGAGGCAAGGCTGCCAGGTGCCTCTGGCCCTTGACCCCTGGGCTGGGTCCCTCACATTGGAACTGGGAGACCTCAGGGACCTGAAGTCAGAGTGGGCTCGGGAGGAAGGGGGGTGACAGACCCCATCCCCATGCCGAGGAGGGGGAAGGACTTCCAGGAGGCCTGGGCTGTGGGTGGCTGCACCCCGTGCTCTGGGGGACCCACACGGACCCCCGTCCCGCAGGCCCCGTCCCTGCAGCAGTATCGCACGAGCGCCGGCTCTCCTGCCACCCAGTCTCCCACCTCGCCCGTCTCCAACCAAGGCTTCTCCCCTGGGAGCTCCCCGCAGGTGAGGCCCCGCCCTCTCACTGCACCCTACCCCGCTCCTGCCTGTCTGTCAGTCAGGCTGGGGGTTACCAGACTGATGGCCACCAGGTGGGAGGTGGGCCTGTGCAGAGGGCCTATCTGGATCCTGTTAAGAAAGCACCCCCCGTTGCTCATGTCTCTGAAGCCCTGGAGCAGGGGCAAGGGGCAGGGAACTTCAAGCTTGTGTTAATGATGCCTGAGCCCTTCACCCCAGGGCCCAGGCCACCCTCTAGGCTCCATGGTCATAAACCCCAGAACCTGTTCTCTGAGCGGAGACCCCCACTTTGGCCTGCACTGTGGAGATCAGAGGTGACCAGGGTGTGGCCGGGGCTGAGTCGTCCTCAGCGAGAGGATGGGTGGCCTTGTAGGGTCTTGAGTCTTGCCCCATTTCGCACACAGGGCACCAAGGCCCCTCCCAGGCCCCGGGAGTCCGGGCACTCTGCCCATGTCTGCCAGGGTTTCTGTCATACCTGGCTACCCCCAACCCCTCATTCAAAATAAGCACAGATTGGCCCAGATCTCTGACCCAGCCCAGTCTCCTCAGTGTCCCCTGAGCCTGTCAGCCCCCTACTCCTCCGGAGCTTCTGGCCTGCCCTTCCCCCGTCAGGGTTTTGGCTTTAGTAGGTCTCCCCACCTTCTCAGAGGAAGCAGCTCTCTGGGCCTTCTGCCTTGCAGCCGTGGGTCTCTCTGAGCCGTCCTAGGAGCGGAGATGCTCCAGCTGCACCCAGGTCCTGAGCAAGGCTACAGGAGGCCTTGTGGCTCTGCCCGACAGAGCAGGGCTTCAAGGCCGGACCGGTGCCAGAGAGAGAGAGAGAGAGAGA